TACAAAGAAGATGCACAAGAAGGGAGAGGTTCTTTCGGCTTCGTATTTCAGTTTTTAGAAATGGAGATTTGGAATTATGAGAAACAACAAGAAATGCCTGCAGAACAAGAGGATTGCGACAAAGAAGAAGCCATCTTTAATGAACAAGTAATCTTAGAATGGGGGGGGGAAGGGGGGGAAAGAGAATGGAAAGTTTAAGATTGGGAAATCAGAAAGCAACAGAAGAGGGAAATGCAGAAGAGAGAATTAGAACTAGAGAGACAAGGGGGTAAAAAGGGGAGGGAGAAGATGAGAGGGAAGAAAGAAAGGAAAAGAAATTATAAAGGACAGAAGCAAAATATAGAGAAACAGGGCCTATTTAGAGATAATGGGTGAAAATTTAATGGAAAAGGAGATTCTGCAAAGGTACATAAGATAGTCTGGTTATATTAGAAACAGAAATAATTTTAGAAAATATGAAAATGTATGATTAAAATGTCCGATAAAATAGCTATCGTAATTCAGTGGAATATTGTCAATAAATGTAACAAAAGGTATATTTAATGATTTATAAAACATACGTGAAGAGAAATAAGGGAAAAATTAATTATGGAGATTATATGTGTTTTTAAGGAAGTATGATATTTAATTGAAAAGAAGTGTTAAAGATGTTAAGATTTTAATGATTATTAATGATAGAACTGAACTGGAATGGAATGAGGGTTTATAATTACATATATTTACAATCTTTTTTTAAAGAATATAGTGTGTATTATAAGAATGTCCCAAGCAGAATTCGATTGGAAGTTATGTATTATATTGAAGGTCATAAACTTAAGGTATATATTGAAGTTTAAATAAGAGTTAAATGGATAAAACTAAAAGATATAAAGGTGTCATACTCCAATTAGTAACTATAGGAGAAAATTTGTTTAATGAGAAAAGATAATATGAAATTGAAACAGAACAGACTAAAGTATAAATATAATGATTTGAATTGAGATGAGATAATCAAAATAAAATTGAGAAAATTAAAAGAGGGGAAAAACTATATAGAAAATGTAAAATAGTATAAGATATGGAATAGAACACAAAAAGAAGCATGAAATTGAGTTTTGTGTCTGTATAAAGAAGTTCAACCCGGGACCATGCTATTTTCAAAAAAAATGTTTTACTTGTATTTTGTATGTGTGAAAACCCAAATAAAATTTTATTTAAAAAAAAAGCTTTAGAGTATATCTAAGAATAACAGAAAACTGAAAAAAATAGCAAGAAACGGTATCATAATTTCATGTTAATGTAAAGGTGAATGTTCCTTTCAAAGTCATTCTGTAGGATTACCATTCCACAGACAAATTATGATATTTTATAACTTAAATTTGATACCTAATTTTGTAATAGTTGATGGATGGCAGAAAATGAAACTATTGTATACAATAGATCTTTGTCCTGGTAGAGTTGATTTTTTTTAGAAGAATGAACTCTCATATAGTGAAAAGTGTATCTATACCATAAGCCAGGATTCTTCACAGAAGCAACAAAAACACAGTTAGTCATGGACTAATGAATCCCATCTGTCATCTATCTGGTTAACTTTTTCTGCTTATAATTGTCATAATTTCCATACCTAAAGGTTTTTTTAAAAACAATCCTGCTGTATTTATTTTTAACTGCTCTATTTTTTCTTATTTTTTGAGTATAAACTACATATGTACATTATGTACATTACTTCACTGCTGTGTGTAATAAATTGTACTCCTCTAACCAACAAAAAACTAAGATGATCTGAATGTTATGGTGAGCACAAAGTGGTTAGGATTAAGGTTAAACTCAAATTACAACCTGGAATCTCATCCTGCAGTGAGAAGAAACTAAGGCAGTGTGTGAAAAATGAAACAAAAAAAGATGATAGTTCCCAAAAAATCAAAGGGACTAATGCAAGCCACTTTCATTACACTGTAGCTACATTCACTACATTCAGTGATGGCAGGCTGGTAATAAAGTACTTCAGCTGGATTGAAAAATTACAAACCTGGGTAGATTATTAGCTGCTGTGTATCAAACACCAGCTTTCTAAGGGCTACAGCAAAGAGAAACGTTGCTTGGAGGAAGATTTCCAGACACGTTCAATTTGCTAGAGCCTTATGATGCTAAAGAATGAATAGTATTCCATTTTTACATGTTGCCTCCTTTTCTTTTAATATCCAAGGCTAGTTACTGTTAAGCTAAATAATTGGACTCATGCCGTGGGAAAGATGTATCGGTTCATTGCCTAATGTGATATTTCTTCCATTTTTTATTTATTTATTAGCAGTGCTTCTCAGCATTTTAATATCAAGGAAGCCAGTGTTGCTTCTTAAAAATCTATGTTGCTGGTTAAAAATAAAAAAGAAGCAGTTCTAAAAGCAACACCAAAAATTGGAAGCTATAAAAAGCATATTTTTATCCATATTTTTCAGGTATATTATTGAACATGGAATAGGTTTGTAATTAAATGATCACAAAATATCATGGTTTTCAACAAATCTTTCTCCAGGACAATGGGATCTGAAAATGTTGTCCACCACAAGTAGAGAATATTAATTAAGTTCACTAAAAGAGTGACAATCAATTTGAACAAACCCTCAAAAACGTAAAACCAACTAAAATGATACATGACACATTAGAGCTCCAAATGGAAGTAAGGTGTCTCTGAAAAGCAAAATTACAAAATGCAAAAGAGTTCTTAACCATTTCCACTGTTCAAATTAGTCATATATTATTAAGGAATACAGCAATCTGAGAAAGGCTACTTTAAAATGTAATTAAGCAATATTCTTAATAGATTCCAATATCATTGAGTAAAAGCCTTAATTAATTAATTAAATTTATATGCAGCCCATCTCATTATCAAGCGACCCTGGGTGGTTTACAATGTTGTAAAAACAAGTACAAAATGTTAAAATATTTAAATATTAAAATAAGCATATTAGAGGTAGGTTCTTTCTCCTAGTCCACTGGCTACCACCAGTATAGAATGATGCCCCCAATAGAGTCTGAGGTCCTTTTCCCGCACCTCATCAATCAGAATTCCTTGAGTGTGGTCTTCTGTGGAATAAGTGAGGGGAGCCAATCCCATTGGGGTGAGATGATTCCTTGGATGGTCTGGACCCATGCCAAACATCTTAAAGGTCATAACCAACATCTTGAATTGGTGTAAATTTTAAATTTAAAGTTTAAATTGTAACATTCCTTCTTTAGCAATCAGTATAAGTTGGCATTCCACCTCCTGGTAATTGACTAGTTGTATTTTTTTATTTTTTTTATTTTATTTGGTTTGTCAATTGCTTACAAGATAATAAGTATAAGTAAAAACATAGTTATGAATACATGGATACATATGAGAAAAATAAAAGAAACAATAGGACAGGGACGGTAGGCACGTTGGTGCACTTATGCATTGTCATTATAGTTGTCATTAGTATATTATTTTAATAGTAGATAAGGTTGCTTATACTCTTACACACATTAGACAATACCCATTTTTCTAGTTTGGGGCATTTCTTCCAAAAGTTTTATGATTATTATGTTTCTCATTCTTTACACTGGATCTTCAGAAACTGCCTCATACTAAGTCAGACTATTGGTCTACTTAATAAATAATGGTGGAGTTGTAGGCATTAGGCCTAGGAAACTTTTTCTATATACCCCAGTCAACTATTGACATTTTGTTGACTTGTATGTCAGGTTTTAATGCAGCATTCACTAATTTGGAAGGAAGCTAGACATCCCTCATTTTTTCCCCCTTGGGCTGAGTTTTGGCTTTCAAGAGGCCTATTGGGAGGGAGTTCAGACTTATGAACGAGGTCAGGACACGATTAAATTTGTTTCATTTTATTTATATTTAAAGGTAATTCAAATTAAATCCAATTAATGTTATTTCTATCAAGCCATGAACTTTTGGGAGTCTCTGAAGGCACCCAAAGCTTTTGATAACCACATAAAGCTCTGAGTTTAACTATCAGAGTATAAAAAATATAGATAATGAAATGCCAACTTGAAAAAATAAACTAAGAGGAGAAACAAAACAAAACCAAAACAAAAGATGTTAACAATAAAAATATGTTTTCCAAACTGAAAAGTTCATAGCATCTGATTGCTTCAGAGTGTTTATCATCCTGTGCATATTATACATTTTTATGTGAATGACTCTGAACTACTCACTCACTCTCAGCCCAGCTTACTTCACAAAGGAGTTTTGGGTTAAAAATGGAGTTCATGAACGAATGATATCTTGAGTTCCTGGAGAAAATGTGAGATATAACTCAATCAAACAAAGTACATACAGAGTGTTGCTGAGCAAAGGAATGTTTACAAACAATGGTTTAGGTGTTCATCAACTAAAATACTGTCAATTTCATTTTGACTAAGCTGGTAAGCTGCCTTACTTAAAATGCAGTTCTGCCCTATTAAACAAAATCTACAAAACTATATAGAAACCTGGTTTTCCAGTTAATAGATCAATATTTTAATGCAAAAATATAAATACATATTTGTAGATCCATACAAATTGGAGTACAGTGTTCTTAATTGTGGTATGTACACACACATTGTGGAAACTATGAGATGCTAATCTTTTAAGCAAAATGTTTCTATTTTCTCCTTTGGCTACTTCTGTGTGAATGGAGTATCTCTTTCAATTCAAAAGTTTAAAAAAGCACATTTTTTTTCAAATGTTAATATTTGCAGTTTGGTAAAGTAATGCAGAACAAATTTCACTGTAGTGCTGTTTAATGCTTTATTTATATGATTATATATGAATCATTCAATCTTTAAATCCTCTTCTGTAATCTGAAATTGTTCTATTTGGATACAATTTTCAGATTTAGTAACATTGTAGCATATTTGAAAGAGAATGATGTTTGAGTTTTTTTTAGTTTCAATAGCAACAGTCAATCACTAAACATCATCATGCGGATTTTATGCAGAATTCTGTTAATAATCAAAACAATAAATAGTGCCTCTTTCCTTGTGTTTTTCAGGGTGTGCTGATTTGCATCTTCTAGACATGTTGACACCTACAGAAAGGAAACGGCAAGGGTACATTCATGAACTCATAGTAACGGAGGAGAATTATGTGAATGATTTGCAATTAGTAACAGAGGTGAGCTTAATCATTCATTATTAAAAATAACACTTCCCCAGATCCATTCATTACTTGCTAGATTCAACATACATAAGGTATGCCTGTGGGACAGAGATAATCTTTGCATATATAATGATCTTAAAGCCTTTTTTCCTGAATTAGAACTCAAGCCCATTGGTAAATTTTCCTGATGCTTGCAAACTTTCTTGTTCATGTAATTGTTTTTTTTGGCTACTCTGAGTTAAGCAGCTACTTAACCTCTTCTGATGCAATCACTGAGATTTTAAAGGGCTGATCTTTGACTATATTACATCCTTTGAAATTATCAGGGTGATTCAGGAAATGATGTTTTTAGAACTTTGATCTTAAGCTGGGAGTGCAAATGAAGTACAGAGTAAGTTCTCTAAATTGTTTATTTAAATTTTCAGATCTTCCAGAAGCCACTGATGGACTCTGAACTGCTGACAGAAAAAGAAGTTGCTATGATTTTTGTAAACTGGAAAGAACTTATTATGTGCAATATTAAACTATTGAAGTAAGTTATTTTGTAAACATATTTTGGTCAGTATTGTAATATGTTGGGAAATCTTCCTATTTCCTTGGAAAGGAAAAATATAGAAATTAAAATGGTTTTTTCATCATTTTTGCAGACCAGCTCTGTGTGTGTGTGTGTGTGTGTAGGATGGGGTAGTTCTGCAAAGCCGAAAAGTTTGGGGTTGCTGTCCTAAAAAGTATCAAATGTGGCCCATGGCCAGCAAAAGGTAGCCTATCCTTTTGTAAGTGGAATTGGGAGGTTCCACAATTGGAGCTTCAAACATGCGCACTCACTTGCCACTTCCGTGACCCGGTTCTGAACGGGCTGGGGGTTGAGGACCCCTGTTTTAGGGAACTGAAAGGTTCTGACACTTCTGAAAGTGAAGCCACATTATAGATGGGCAGGGTTCTGTGAAGATTTCCAGGTTCTTTGTTTTTTGATCGATACATTTATTTTATACCTTATGCTATAGTTTCCTAGTTTTCTTTCCTCATAATGAAAGGAAACCATGGCAGTGATCAGAGGAAACTCCCAGAGCAGCAGAAATAGGATTCAGTAGTCACAGGTTGTTAATCCCTGCATTTTGAGAAAGTTCTCCTAGCTCAAAAAGCTTTTCCTAACGGAGGGCCTCCAACTGTTTATATTCTAATGCTCTGATTTATGGGATATTAGTAAAGGGATTCAATCAAATTGCTAACCAAATATCTCTTTTACATTTTGCTATTTAGAGCACTGCGAGTTCGTAAAAAGATGTCAGGTGAAAGAATGCCAGTTAAAATGATAGGTGATATCCTGACTGCACAGCTTCCTCACATGCAGCCCTACATTCGATTCTGCAGCTGCCAGCTGAATGGGGCAGCACTCATACAACAGAAAACAGATGAAGTGCCTGACTTTAAAGACTTTGTTAAAGTAAGAGAAGGTCACATTTGTTTCTCTTTTTCTTTGCAGAACCTTCTGCATTTAAAACATGCCAAGCAGAAACACAGCTTTGAATACTGTTTTTTCTCCATTTATGTCCTAATGACCATAACTTGGTCAGAGAGGACTCAGAGGTAACAACTGCACAGTTCATGAATTGATCATGCACCTGAATAAGGATATCACAGTTTAGAGATCGATCCATTAGATTCCAAAGGCAAAGGAGTCTTTTGACTTTGTTCCAAATAACTGACTTTTACACAGCACGGCAAAATTCTTTTTAGAATTAGGAAGTTTGAAAAACAAATTGTGATTCAGCACAACAGCAATTATGAGTTTGTTAAGAACTCTTCATTTTCCGATCAAGAATCTGTTATAACCAGCATCCAATTTCTAGCAGCAGCTAAATAAATACCACTCGACAACTAAGGAATGGTCCGAACAGTTATCTGGAATACAAATAATAAATAACAATAAACTGTATATTACATTTTCTATATTATTTATGTTGTGTGGTATTTTTTTATGGATAGCACCAGCAGGAGCAAACTGAATTTTGTATATATGTACAATGACAATAAAGGTTATTATTATTATTACAATTATCTGGAATACAAATAATTCTGCATCTGTTCTACAAGTAAATGGTGAAGCCAGAAAAAAACAATGAAATGTTGGGTATGATACTTTTCCATGTCCAAAGATATATCCAAGGGGATACTGTTTTTTCTTAGCTATACATGCATACTTTGCTGCTAGCATAACTGAGGAAATCTTTGTTGAATGCATTCTCTGTAGCATTTTCTTCAACACTTAGTCAAGGAATGCTAGCTTTCAATCTCCCAGATAATCTATCCTTAGTCTATCAGAGACAAGGGGGCAAGGCCAGTCTTCACTAGACAGCCTTATGCCTCTGAGGAAATTTTGAATTTTACATAAAATCAGAGGGCTGGAAGGGACCTTGGGGGCCCTCTGACCAAGAGAGGAGTCCTTATAGTATCCCAGACAAGTGGTTGTCCAGTGTTTTTTCTTGAAAAGCTCCAGAGACAGACCACCCCCAGATCCAGGAGGCAAGTTCTTCCATTCATTAATTGCTCTCCCTATCAGGAAATTCTTCATTATGTCCACGTTGGATCTCCCTCTGACAAGTTTCCACCCATTGCTTCTTGCCATGCCTTCAGGTGCTTTGGAAAAGAAATGTATAGTTTGCCTGTTAATTATGTGCTTGAACTAATAATCAGGTTAATGAAAAATAAATGTTCCCAAATCAAAAAAGAGAGAGCACTGAATATTCTTTGGCTTTTAGTCACCATGCTCATGCAAGAAAGACTAATACTCCAGGATTAGGGATTTTGATCATGAGTGAACCTCAGGGTTGCGTGAACGAATGTCTACTCCTTTCCTTCCTCCTTTTTCCCCCTTTACAATCTCCATTCAGTTTCCCTAGACGAGACAGCTCAAAATTCTATTTCTCAATGACCAATAGATAGCATTTGTATAAGCAACTTAGGCCTGTGATACGTATTTTAATACTATAGATTTACAGGCAGAAAGAGAGAAAAAAAATGATATTTATATTATGTAAATAGTAAAGGAAGATCCTGTTTGATTTTGACATTTTAAAAGTACGTTTCATAATCAGCTGATATTTTGTGCTTTTTCAACATTTCAGAAATTAGCAATGGATCCTCGCTGTAAAGGAATGCCATTGTCAAGCTTTTTGCTGAAGCCTATGCAGCGGGTTACACGATATCCTCTAATAATAAAAAATGTAAGTCCTTTTGATATCAGATTAAAATATTGAGATTTATTTTGTTAATTTATCTTATATGCACTATTGTCATTCTAGAACAGCCCGCTCCAGCTTGATAGTCACCAGATATGTTGGTTTGTAAGTCTGGACATCCCTATATCAGTAGTCATGAGAGCTTTGAACACTAGACTTTCACAAGCAGATGCAGTCCACCTAACCTTAAGCTAAATTGCACACACTTTGTTATATATAGGTCTACCTTTTACCCCTCTCCTCTATTAGTTTTATTTGGATGTTCGACCCCTCCCTACATGGATGAAACTCAAGTGTGAATTGATCTGTTTTTTATTTTTTTAGGGGTATGATTACACAAGTCTGAGGACTGAACTGATAATGAAAAGTTCAGATTATTTTAGAGTAATATAATAAAGATTAAAATAAGATTGCTTTGAAAATGAATCAGCCTTAATCAGTTGTAGCAATCAAGAAATGACTTTTCTTTATTGGTTTGGACACGATCTTATTTCTTAAGTTAATTTTTATATATTATATATATAATTGACAAAAATAAAAAGGGAATAGATGTTTAAGTTTCTAAGGAACTAAATTGGCTTATTTTTATGTAGATATTGGAAAATACTCCTGAAAATCACCCTGATCATAGCCACTTGAAACATGCTTTAGAGAAAGCAGAAGAATTGTGTTCACAGGTTAATGAAGGTGTACGTGAGAAAGAAAATTCAGACAGATTAGAATGGATCCAGGCTCATGTTCAATGTGAAGGATTATCAGAGGTAAAGCTTAAATATATCCAAATAAATTGTATTTTACTTTTTTAAAAAAAGATAGCTAATGAAGTATCTCTTTAACTAAACAGAATAATTCTGTTAAAGAGATACTAACAAGATTTTTACATTAATTTTATCCTGCTCTACATTGGACATAACTTCTACCAGTGTCAATTTTCTAGTTTTTCTCTGTGACTCTTTTATTAAGGCACAATATGATGGTGACTCTTCTTGTGACATAATGTAGTCTGCTTTATTGAGTCAACTAAAGTCTTTTCATACCAGCAAACTATTCCACTAGAAAATAAACTGTTTTCTATATCAGTAATGCTGAAAAAGGCTGTGTTTCTTTAAATCAAGGATATAGATTAAGGCAGTTGTTGTTATTCTTTAGTGGGTTTATATATCACACTAAGGCAAGGGTCTTCAAACTTGACAAGTTTAAGACTTGTGGACTTCAACTCCCAGAATTCCTGAGCTAACATGCCTGGAGGAGGAATTCTGGCAGTTGAAGTCTACAAGTCTTAAAGCTGTCAAGTTTGAAGACCCCTGCACTAAGGCATAATATTCTTTGCTTGATTTTAACTTTGTGTGCAGAGGAAACCCAGCCTTTCTTCATTATAAATGGTGGTTTATGACTTAGAATATATAACCAGTGTGATCACAGGTTAGCACAATGTGAATCTGGATAGTCTGCATTCACATGTCACATAATTATGGTTTAACATAAATGAAGTTGCATCAGCGTGCCTTAGGCTTTGCATTCCCATTCATCTCCCAAGTTATATGGTCAGATAGAAAAATTCAGATTTTTATGTCCTTTTCCCTTGTTTGATAGTGGATAGTTTAAAACAAATCATCTTCAAATGCTGGTTTTTAAAGCTGACTTCTTTAGATTAAGCACAGTTCATTTTAACTACAGGTCCACATTGGGTGAGAAGCAAAGTTGTACTAAAAAACAAGTGGAGGAAACAACTTGCCAATTTCAATTCTTGTCCACTGGTACTTACTGGCACTTATTATGCTAATAAAATTTTAATAGTTATAATAAATTAATAATAGCTGAAGAAGCTTCTTGAATGAGAAGCAAAACATTTTCAAAGAAAAACCAGAAAGTCAGGGGGAAGTAACTTTGGGACAACCCTGACTGGATGACTGAGAATCTCTATAGACAATAAATTAATAATAAAACTTATATTGATCTGTGTCTTAATGTGACAGCAAATATGTCCAGTGTTGCCGACAGACCAAAAGTAGTCAACTGGTAGCAAAACTAGTTCAGTGTATTATAAACCTATAGTACCAATGTATTGTTACCATTTTTAATTTGTATACATCCTTCAATTCTTTAAATTTTCCTTTTTTCAAATCTGATTGAAGGGCACAAACCTAAAGGAATAATTCCACAAATAACCCTTATTGTCTAGCCACACCACCAAGTACTGACATTATACTGTTGGGTTAAAGCATTTACCCTGTGCAGTAGCTGATGTCATGAGTTCAATTACACACAAGAATGTCATGATTGGTATATTTTTATACATCTCACTGCTGCTGGGTTTGTGTCTGTGTATGTTTTGTTCCCCCTCAGCAACTTGTTTTTAATTCTGTTACAAACTGCTTGGGGCCACGCAAATTCCTGCACAGTGGAAAACTCTACAAGGCCAAGAGCAACAAGGAATTGTATGGTTTTCTTTTCAACGACTTCCTCCTGCTGACACAGATCATAAAACCTCTTGGTTCATCTGGCACAGACAAGGTTTTCAGTCCCAAGTCTAATCTGCAATATAAAATGTACAAAACCGTAAGTATCACTTTTAAAAGGGAAATACTGATTTTTAATTAAAATATCTTTTTCATACAAAAGCATGAAGGTCCCAAACCTCTTGAAGCCAATAGGCATCTTTGGAATTTTGAAAACATAGTTTGGATATTTTCACAAAATGAGTCCATGCCTTTTCCAAAATGGTTGCTATTGTTTACTAAAAGCAAACCAGTGAGGAAGCTTTCGTCCGGGAAATACTGAGCCAATGAGGTGGCTACACTGTGTGTAGGAAGCTGGTTCATTATCCCATGGTCCTGTTTATATCTGTGTTTAAGCTGTTTTTACATTATTTAAAATTTTAAATAGTTACATTATTTTGTTGTTGTTTTTATTCTTTTACCTGATCGTTACAAGGAAAGTATTTTCATCATATCACCGTCAACATTCATGTACCATATTTTTTGGAGTATAAGACACACTTTCCCCTAAAAAAGAGGGGGAAATGTCTGTGCATCTTATACAATTAATATTGCAGTGGGGGGTTGGTGCGGCGCCGGTCAGCTGTTCTAGAATGAATGGCGGAGGCACAAATGGGCAGCGGTGAATAGGGTGTGGCAAACAGGCAGCGACAAATGGGCTGGGTGAATGGGCCACGGCGAACAGGCCAGATGAATACTGGATGAATGCTGGGAGGCATAGGTAGATTTTTTTAAATTAATATAAATAGAAAGAACAATATGTTCAAAATCCAGACAACACACTGTCTATATGGATTTTGAACATGGTACTCTTTGTATTTATATTAATAAAAAATAGGCAGATTTTTTTTCTTGTTTTCCTCCCCAAAAGCTAGGTGCACCTTATAGTCCAGAGCATCTTATAGTGCGAAAATACAGTTAACCCATCAAATATTTCTAAATGGACTGCTTCACATTCAAAAGGCTTTGCATAGATCGGGGGTCGTCAACTTTTTGGACCCAAGGATCACCAAACATGTTAAATCCCAGGGATCACTAACCGGTTCTGCAGTCGTGGCCTAATTTGTGGGTGACTGGCTGGGCATGGCTTGTATGTAAATATTATAAATATTGAATTTTTTATTTTAAAAAAAGAGCAATTTTTACCCAAAATCAGGCAAAGCAGGCAGGCTGATTGAGTTGCTCACAGAATCATAGATTCATTCAGAGATCTATCTGCCATTGGCTAGCTCAGTCTGTCACATAAAATTTGCTTTCAAGCAAACTCATAAAATTAACTCACAACACACCATGTATGTAAATATTGAATTTTTTATTTTAAAAAAAGAGCAACTTTTACCCAAAACCAGGCAAAGCAGGCAGATTGAGTTGCTCACAGAATCATTCAGTGATCTATCTATCTGTCATCGGCTAGTTCAGACTGTCACATAAAATTTGCTTGCTGTGAGTCTGCACTGAATAATAGAACCTTCAGTCCTAAGGGAGGTTCAGCTGTGCTTAAAAGCAGAGCCGAAGATCTAAAGGCTAGCTAGAAAGCAAGAAATCCAACCAGTTCCTGCTTCCTAGCTAATCTAAATCTCCCCACACAACAGAACAGCTGATGGTTAGAAAAATAGCAATTTAGCAGGCAAGTTTGCCAAGGAGTGAGTGGGCGGGGAGGGTTCCCACGGGCCATGTGGGCAGGGCAGCCTTGTGTTTCTGCACAGCCTGGATTAATTGCTTTGCGGTGGTACTGTGGGGGTGAGATTTTTCTGCCACCCACCAAAATTTTCTTGCGGCCTACCAGATAGCTCTGGTGACTCTATATAGTAAAATCATATATATCCATTAAATTGTAATAAACCTAAATGTATTTGTTTTGCTAGGTACACATACAGCAGATCTTTTCAATTACCATAATTCTTTCTTATGTCAGTTCAGTTTTTTTCTTGTGAAAACACAGCCACAATTATACCTCTCACATATGAGAGGAAGATGATGACAACTTGACATAGAAATTAAACTGCATCATTAGAAAATAGTGGATACAAGTAGAGCTTTCAATAAATAATTCAGTATAGAATATTCCAGCCAATGTAGCAGACAGAGCTGTGGGCGGAGTTAAGCAAGTCATTAGCCTAGAGTTGTTATGTTCACACAAATGGTCCAAATTTAACTCTTCTTGAATTCCACTGACAATTTAGTATTGTATGTTAATTGATTAGATTCTTGTGTATAGGCTTGAGCAATAAATCCTTTATACCTAACAGCCAGCCAGCTCTAATCCTTTGTTTACTATCTCTTCCTTCTGCTTACCCTTCTCCCCACCAAATCACATGTTTTATAGTCACTGAACATTCTTAATCCACCTTAGCCTAATGTTGGCACTTAGAGGGTTAATTGCAATCCTTAATGTTCCCAAAGCATTCTGATTGCCCTTATTTGTTTCTTGGGATCAAGCTAGAAGTGTTGCTAAACATATAATTAAAATTGTATTGGATAATTAAAAAAACTAATTGGAGATGCAGGGAAGGAAATTTTATTATGACTTGAAGGTGATTTATGCTTGCTTTCTCTTCCCTGATATTAGCAAAAAACCTTCTCTTTCCTTCCCAGAACTGTTTGAATTTGAGGGAAACATTAATGTGAAATGGTTCTAATAAAAATGGTATGGCTCATCTGGCTTTAAACATTATGATGTTTAAGAATAGACAAGATATGGAATGATTCATTCAGCTTAGCCCTCGTGGCTACAGACGAGTCAGCATTCACCAACTGTTTGGAGGAAAGATGGAAATACACTTGTGTTCAATTTCTGATTCCTCAAATAAAAAATCTGCAATGTCTTTAGTGATTGTTTATAAATGTACCACTTTTTAGGTTAAACGGAAAATAATGTCCTTGTCCTCCTTATTGGTCTAGTTTGTGTTTATGTGTGTTGTTTACCCCAGAAGCAGAGATGGAACAAAAACATACAGTATTCTCAACAGTTCTCATGTAGTCTAACTCTGGCAGATCTTTATTTTCCCACAAGCTGTGGATTGGTAATATTAGTGAATTAACTAAAGCAATTATGTCAAGCTTTTGACAAATAATTTGCTTTAGTTTAAAAGTATACATTTGCTACTGACATGCAATAAAAATGGCAGAACATTTTCTCTACTTTGAGATCTCTTCCTGTTTTCAGATGAATTAACTAAATCAAATCAGTATTTTCCACTTAGAGATTTAGTATAGTGAATGTTACTGGTGGTGATTGTTAACTCCCAACAGAATTAAATATTTATAAATTGAAGGTACAGAGAATATACAAAATAAAGAATATGTACATAATATCTTATAAACATCTAAAGTTGATTCCCATAAAATACAGGATATGTTGCCTGAAAAATAACATCATGGACATCATTTACCTAATGCTAAATCTAAAAATAATAAAATAAACATATTGGTTAAACATGCAGATTTAAAATTTGAGGATATAAGTTGTTTTATGGGACATATATCATATCATGGGTATCACAGAATCATAGAAAGAGAAAGGGCCATTTAAACTATTCAGTGAAGTTATATATCTTTCAGTGTCTTGCACTACCAATGAAATGTTTTGGGTATTTCTGAGGTGGTAGTAGCCTTTTCCTCATGTTTTGGCCATGGTATTCATGGTGAACCTGAGCTTGAAATGGGATCAGCACTCCAGGTCTTTTATATAATGTAGGCATTCTTCCACTTAATCCCCTTACTTTGACGGTATTTGTAGCATTGAACTAGAGGTATAGTATAACAACTGTACTTCAGTATAAGTGATAATATTCTGCGTATTGTATTGCCCCTATGATTACTGCCTTGAGCAGATCAGTATACATCCTTTGTGGAAAGAAGAACCAAATGTATTTTTGCAAATCTGCTGAATCTTTTCCTAGTGGATAGTCTGTTTTTTTTTATGAATATGTTGCAAATAATGTACCAGTAGTTACGGCCTGTGGATACACAAAAGATTTACAGTGGATAACTGGCATATATTTTATGTAAAAAAAGAAAAGTACTATCTATACAGCAGCATACCAGTCAGTTGAGTGCCAAGCTTAACATCTCTTGTCAGGCTTTCATTCCAAATTAAACTGAATGTTGCGTAATATTTCTGCAGCCTATATTTCTAAATGAGGTTTTGGTAAAACTGCCTACGGATCCTTCTGGGGATGAACCCATCTTCCACATCTCACATATTGATCGAGTCTACACGCTTCGTGCAGAAAGTATAAATGAAAGGTAAAATACCATTGTATTAGCACTGAACATTGCTGGACTTTGAATGTTCTCTTTTTTGTTCTACCATGCAAATGTGCCACATATACTTTGTTTCATTACCTCATAGCATTGAGTGCTATTAACATTTAACTTTGCATTCTCCCATTTTGACTTCACAGCAACATATATATAAGCATATATGCTTATATGCTTCATAACAACTTTGGTCAGGACGTAGTTTTAATTGGGAAAAGAAGCACCAAAAAAATGGAATATAGACTCTCGCTCTCCCTGGCTTGTCAATCCCTTCTCTTATCATTTATTTTTCATGGAGAAGATATTGTGCACAAATCCTTCATATCACACTCAGTTTGGCTTTAAAATTTAGAGCTAAAATAGGTTCATGCTTCCATGCAATCAGATTTGCTTACCTGATACCCCACATGACAATGGGTAACTTTGTTTCCACCTTCTCTTTCTGAAGGACAGCTTGGGTTCAGAAAATCAAAGCTGCTTCTGAACTTTACATAGAAACAGAGAAGAAGAAGAGGGAAAAAGCATACTTAGGTACTGCACTGGGGGTACAGTTTTAAGTTTTCCCCAAAATAACAGAAGAATATTATAATGAATCTTGCCTGTTCTTGCCACAGTCCGATCCCAAAGGGCAACAGGTATTGGAAGGTTAATGGTGAACATTGTTGAAGGTATTGAACTGAAGCCCTGCAGATCTCATGGTAAGAACATTATTCTTTTTTTCTCCACAGTGTGACAGAGGGTACCTCCTGAGGTTATTTAATCTGCTTAACGTAAAACAATTTGTCAGAAGAAAATTACAGTGTTTGAAAAATATCATTTGAATATCTCCTATAGATTAGTATATTGACCGTGATGGAACCCAAGACAGGCAACAATAGGAAACCTCTTCTACACTGTTGCCAAAACCTTGCATATGTGCATGTGTTTCTCATGAATTAAGCTCGGGAGCATCTTTATCTTTACCTATAGCTATCTAGACCTCTACAGCCTGTATAATTTTAAGTACAGGTAGTCCTCAACTTACAACAGTTCACTTAATGACTGTTCAAAGCTACATCAGCACTTAAAAAAGGGACTCTTTGTGTGACTGTTTTTCACACTTACGACCAATGCATCATTCCCATCGTCACTTGATCAGAATTCAGACGCTTGGCAACTGACTCATATTTATGATGGTCGCAGTGTCCTGGGACCGGTCAGGTGATCACCATTTGCAACCTTCTGACGAGCAAAGTCAATGGGGAAGCCAGAATTCACTTAACAACCGTGTTACTAACTTAATTACTGCAGTGATTCACTAACAACAGTGGCAAGAAAGGTTGTAAAATGGGGCAAAATTCATTTCACAAAATGTCTCGCTTAGCAATAGAAATATTGGGCTCAGTTGTGGTCATACATTGAGGACTACCTGTAATGTTAGTAGCTTCCATAGGTTTCATAAGTCAGTCCACCTATTTTGGGCAGTTTCAGGCAGGCAGATAAGGTGAAATTTATTGATACCTACTTTGTCCCCTCTCCACGGGACAAAATTGTCTCCTTGAAATTCACTGCCCGAGCCATTTGGGTTTAATACTAGTAGTTACCATAGTTAATATATGGCTTGTAAGTGGTGAGTCACATGTAACATGATGAAGGATGCCAGATTTTATTGTGCAGCATTCATACACTCAAAATACCAGGTGAATTTCCCTGTTTAAACACAAATGATGATATCTTGTGAAAAGAATAGAACTAAATTACTAACTTCATGGATGCAAATATGTAATCAGTGCTATATCCTGTATGTGAATTCCCCTATTAGGAAAGAGTAACCCGTATTGTGAAGTGACGATGGGGTCACAATGTCATATCACCAAGACTATACAGGACACTCTCAATCCCAAATGGAATTCTAACTGTCAGTTTTTTATCAAAGATTTGGAACAAGATGTGCTGTGCATAACAGTGTTTGAGAGAGATCAATTCTCTCCTGATGGTAAGTGGCACTTCTTATTTTTCAGCTTAGTTTTGTGTTCAGAGCAGCTTTTCTCAACTTATAGAGTCATTGGGGAGAGAAGTGTGTTTTTATGGCAGTGTGCATGCATGGAAAGCATCAGATTTCTCATTCTTACAGCACATCTTGACATCAATTGAAAGTATACTTTAAATAGCAAGAATCTTCCAAAGAGGATACAAGTAGTTGCAACTGAAAGGAAATTGAACTGGTCTGTGTTGATGCATATTGTTATTTGCTTTGTGGAGTTTTCCTAGAAATAAAATATGCACAGGATGTGCTTGTTTTTCAGCTTGATCCCAATATTCACATTAGTTATAATTGCGTGTTTCCTATTTCAGATTTCTTGGGTCGAACAGAAATTCGTGTGGCTGATATTAAGAAAGACCAAGGCTCAAAGGGACCAGTTACAAAGTGTCTTCTCCTGCATGAAGTCCCAACAGGAGAGATAGTTGTCCGACTTGATCTGCAGCTGTTTGATGAACCTTAAAAAGGAAAATGTGAGAGGTTTCTACGAAATAGCTCAGTTCTTTTAGAAGAGATGAATAACTTGCCCTGCAGATGTTATGGACTCTTATTAGCCAGATTAATTTTTGACAATACTGAATTCCAAATTATGAGAAAAATGTTATTTTTTGTTTTATTTTTGTTCTGATGTTTTCTGTGGAATTTCTGCTGCAGTATTCAGGGTTTCTAGAATAACAGACCTTAGTCTGTGCTCTGACAAGGTAGAGAAAAGATTGCACTTTTTCCTGGTTCCTGCAGCATGTGATGTCAAGAGGGTTTTGGACTTTCTAATGATTTATCCTAGAGTGTTGTGCCTATTGCCCCTCAGAGTAGTATATAAACAAATTGTGAATATATTTATATAAAAATACTTATAACATGAATGCATTCTTGCCATGTAAGATATTTGGATTTTTTTTTAGGAAGTTCATATTTGGATGTTTTTTTTAAAGAGGAAAGAAAGAAATGTTGAAGTGACAGGTAGCCTGGAATGTTTTCCGGAGATTAAATGAAGGATGCTTTTTCATAGCATTTGTTAAAGCAGAAATTTTGTGGATTAAGAATAAATTGCTGGTCCAGGGTGCAGTAACTTAAAACCCTTCCCTTTAGCAGGCAAGACTTTTAAATGGACCTGAAACCTGTTGCCTCTCATATAAATATTAGGTGTCTTTCACCAAACAGATTAATCTCTATCCATGCATCAATGCTTCAGGTATTTGTATTTTACTTGAGTTGTAAAGGATTGTTGATCCAATTAGCAAAGGGTCACACAAGTCCTACAGTTTGGTTGCTGTACCTTGCAATAATATTATTAAATTGCTGCTGGGAGATTAATCTAATGGTAAGGAAAGGTTGCTCTAGTTCACAAAACCGGTCATTGTCCATGAAGACAAGGCTGCACTATCCAGACAGGACAGTTTATTACACTGCATTGTGCCTCAGTCAAATGAAAGCATACTCCATGGTTTTGAAACTACAGTAACAACATATTGTAACTCATCAAGATAGTTGTAGATTGGCCTGCCAAACATTGGATGTGCTGAGATTTTGCAAAGTGAGGGATCTCAGTCAAAGGAACCTGTTGCTATCCTGCAAATGCAAACATTCACTGGCGTTCTGCAATTTCAAATAGGAAAAACTTGATTCAGCAGTGTGCTTAAAAATCATTTAAACAAGAGACTATTTGCTTAAGAACTTGGAATGAACTTGACCCACTGACAGAAGAATTTGGGTCAGTGCAAGTTCATTTTGTTTGTGTTTTCAATTATTCCACTTGATACCCAAGGATCATGCTGTAAAGGGGATTTTTGTAGATTTTCAGAATGAGAGATGTTGATGGTTCTGTTAGCACGTCAATGTTCTCGTGAGTTGTTGGCTTTGCTGTTCTTTGCATGTTGTTTTGGTATCAGTTTTCATGTTTCCTGTGGAGATGAATGTTATTTAGCACAGAAAATCTTTATTATTTCCATTAGGAAATTAGAATAACTTTATACTTGATAGGTATATGAGGTCTGGTGATTAATGTAAATTGTGCTTGAAACTGTGTATTATTATTTCCAAGGAAGCCACTGTATTATTTTCAGCAATCTTTTTTTTTAAAAAAAACCCTATATGTTGGAGAAACAACGAAGTTTACATTTCATACTTTTAAGAATTGGTTTACTATTTATTTATTGAAGATAGTGTTGAATTTTGTATCAGAAATGGCATATTTATGTATTTTTTGACCAGAGAAACACACTTTAGTTAGAAACTTTAAAATGACCAAGTTTTAGACTAAGTTTAACTTAATAGGCATGCAGTTATTTAGCACTAACTGGTTGACAACACAATGAAAAACCACTTGTTTTTATTTTTCAATGTTGTTTGAAATGTTTGAATTAACACATGTAAATAGTACTAAGCTCACCTTTTCCTCTTTTCTGTATCAGTACGTTTGATTAAATATAATGTACATGAAAATAATACATTATGTAGAAAGTAAAAAGAAAATTCCTTAGTGCTGGAAAATATTAAATGTCTTTGTTCTAACTTTCTTTGGCTATTCTTGAACTCAGAAGGTATTAACAAAGGTGGCTGTTGTTTTCTTTTCATAGATTTTAAAAAATCTTATTCATTTAGAGAAATCTTACTGGACAATAAAAATAGCAGATACATTTACTCCGATGTCAAAGCAAATTAGCTGCACATTCTTAGAAGACAACAGGAAGCCAACAACTTGAAGAATAGAGACCCATTCAAAGGATGTCAATAAGTAAACATAGCAATAATACTCTGGCAAGTTTGAATAAATCATTTACTTATGTCTAAAAAGACCAGACGTGTATAGAAAAATTCAAATCTAAAGGGTTTAATACCTATCATGGATAATTCAAAATTTATAGGTCAACTGACCTATAAAGAAAAATTCATAGTTCAGCATATAAACTCTTTTTAGTTATTCAATTAGTACTATTAGCGGTCCTAGAAAGATAAATACAGATCTAGAGATCTGTCAATATTTGCATTCAACATCTTTCACCACCACATAAATTCATATAGTACAGTAGTATCTTGGTACCCAACGTTAATTGGTTTTGAGAGGTACAATGGATACTAGAAAAGAATGAATCCCAAACAATCCACATGACTTATCGTGTAACCCTTTGCTTCAGCCTGGAAGAACTGTCTGTCTCTTTTCCAATGTCAGTGATATTTCCACATGGACAACTTCCTGTCCGCGTTCTGTGGCCATCCCCCTAGTTTTGCATCAACCTTCCTAGCAAGGTTGGCTTCCTGTCTGTTCCCCACAGCTATCATGCTCTTCTTATAGCAGAACATTGAGTCCTAAACAAAGGCCAAATACTGGAACATTTTCACATCAAAATGCGTAGAGTACCAAACTTGTTGAATTTTGAAGCAGTGCAATTCTGAATTCCCAAAGAGTTCCTCCTCCTTTAGTTTAGTTTAGTTTTAGTTTACTTTGTTGTCATTGCACTTCATACAACGAAATCAAACACCATCTTCAGTGCACATCATGATCATGACCATGAAAATAAACACAATCCTTCACCCTTCACACATTGAACCGGAAACCCCCGACACCACACCAACACTGCACTAGACAGCAGAATTCAAAAGAGCTACTGCCCTGGGATAGAAGCTGTTTTTCAGCCTGTTTGTCCTTGTTTTTATTATTCTGTACCGTCTGCCAGGTGGTAATAGTTGAAAAAAAGGGGTTCCCAGGATGAGATGGATCTTTGAGAAAGTTTTGAACTTCCTTAAGGCAGCGGGAGCTATAAAACTCTTCCAAGGAGGGGAGAGGGCAACCAATGATCTTCTGGGCAATGACATTAACCCTCTGGAGTGCTTTCCTATCTGCCATTGTGCAATTGGCAAACCATACAGACGTGCAGTATGTTAAAATGCTTTCTATGGTGCAGCGGTAGAAGGTCACCAGCAGTTTTTCATTCAGTTCTTTTCTCAGGTAGTATAATCTCTGCTGGGCCCTTTTGACCAGGGCTGCAATGTGGGCACCCAGGTCAGGTCCTCTTTTAAGGTAACACCCAGGAACTTAAAAATGGCTACTTGCTCCACTCGGTCTCCATTGATAAGCAAGGGCTGGATGTCTGATCTGTTCCTTCTATAGTCCACTATAAGCTCCTTGGTCTTATTGGTGTTGAAGACCAAGTTATTGTCTCCACACCACAAAAGCAACCGGTCCACCTCATCTCAGTAGGCAGACTCATCCCCCCCCAGAGATAAGTCCCACCACTATTGTATCATTTGAAAATTTAGCAATAGTATTACTAGCGTGAGTGGGAATGCAGTCATGCACATAAAGAGTATAGAGTAAGGGACTCAACACGCAACCCTGTGGTGTACCAGTGTTAAGAATAAGGGCTGAGGAGGTATGATTACCTAATCTGACCCTCTGTGAGTGGCCAGACAGGAAATCCATAATCCAAAGGCAAATTGAATTAGAAAGCCCAAGGTCCAGAAGTTTAGACGCTAGTCTATGTGGAACAATTGTGTTAAAACGCAGAACTAAAATCCACAAAAAGCATCCTCACGTAGCCCTCCCGCTGTTCTAGATGAGTCAGAGCAGTGTGAAGAGTGATGGCTATATCGTCCTCTGTAGATCTATTTTTTCTATATGCAAACTGGTGTTTATCTAATGTATGCGGAAGACCAGAAATGATGTGCCAGCAGACCAATTTCTCAAAGCACTTCATGATGATAGGAGTGAGTGCCACTGGTCTGTAATCGTTGAGGTTATTGATAGGGAACTTCTTTGGCAGTGGAACAATGGTGGAAACCTTCAAACAAGATGGAATAGTGGACTGGGATAAAGACTGATTGAAGATCCTGGTAAAGACTCCAGCCAACTGATCAGCACAGTCTTTAAGTACTCAGCCAGATATACCGTCAGGACCAGCAGCCTTTCTAGGGTCCACTGCCCTCAGAATGCTCCTCACCTCCTGTTCCTCCACAATGAGGTGGGGGCTGCAATTGGCTGGCAGTTATGTTTTATCTGTCTGTGATGTCTCCACTTCAAAGCGAGCAAAGAAATGATTCAGTTATTCTGTCAATGAAGCATCCCCCCTCAGCAGGGATGACATTGGTCGGTTGATGGTTTGTAATTTGTTGAATCCCTCGCCACACCTGCCTCATGTTATTACTATAAAAAATATCCTCTATTTTCCTCTTATAATCAGTCTTGGCCTTCCGAATACCTTTCTTCAGATTAGCTCTGGCAGCACTGTATTGTGCCCCATCACCAGACCTAAAGGCCTTGGTCCTGTCACGCAAGAGGCGCTGGACTTCCTTGGTCATCCAGGGTTTCTGATTAGAATAGATCCTAATGTATTTATCCACAGTGATAGCATCTGTGCAGTGTTTGATATAGCACAGAACAGTTGCAGTGTGCACCTCTAGCTCAGGGTGGCAAAAGATGTCCCAGTTTGTGTTCTCAAAACAATCCTGAAGTTGTTGGGAAGCATCTTCTGGCCAAGATTTCACTGTCTTTATTATAGGCAGAGCCCGTCCCCTAAGAGGGATGTACGCTGGTGCTAAAAACAGTGACATATAGTCTGATTGTCCCAAATGTGGTAATTGTATAACCTTATAGCCATGTTTGATGTTGGTATATACTTTGCACACTTAACATGCTGATAGAATTTAGGGAGCACTTCTTTTAAATCAGCTTGATTAAAGTCCCCCGCTATGATATGCACAGCATCAGGATACTTATTCTGCTCATTACCAACAACATTATACAAGAATCCCAAAGCTATGGTATTATTGGCATCAGGTGGGACATAGGCTGCAGTAATCAAAACCACGCTGAATTCCCGCAGAAGATATATGGGTCTACATTTAAGAGTCATATATTCCAGATTCATGGAGCAGTGGTTGCCTACAGTCTTTGTATTGATACACCAGCTTTTGTTCACATAAAGGCTTAAACTTCCCCCTTTGATCTTGCCAAAATCTCTACTCCTCTCCTATCGGTGAGCTATGTAGCCTTCCAGCTCAACAGCTGCATCAGGAATGAGTGAATGGAGCCAAGTTTCTGTGATTAGCAAAACACAGCAGTTCTTGTTGAATTTAGTCTTTGCAATCTGTAGCCTTAATTCATCCATTTTGTTAGTCAGGGATCTTGCATTGAAATCTACTTGGAATTGAAGGCGTGTGTGGAAACTTACTCAGACTAAAAAAAAAAAACCAGCACGGCATCCTCTCTTCCTCTTCCTGTTCTTCTTTCTCTGTCTCTTCCTCCTTCCTACAGGGATAGTGATCCATGGCTCCCCCAGGGGCCTAGCTGCCTCCTTCGGTATGTTATGAGGATGTGTAAAATCATCCGTAATAGCCTTTTCACATTTCAGTCCAATTTGTAACAAGGTTTGCCGACTATAGATGCTCCTTGCCCCACAGGATTCAATCAAGGAAGGGATCCAAAACACACACAGAATCATATACACCACACACTGAAAGAAAGAGCGGTTAGTCACAGCATCCATATGTGCAGCCATCTTGAAAACCCATATATCCTTGATCTGTGGCTAGAGTTGTAGTTATTCCCCTGACAAATATATGCCATTTAATGTGAAATTCTGGCCTCACAGAATCTCGTCAGGCATTATGTGGTCATTGAGATACAACTGGATTTTAATCTATTATATATGGTATCCACTTGAAATTAAACCCATTGGAATTCAGTGAAATTTGTTTTCAAACATCGTTTAGAAGACTATGGTTTTCAATGCAAGATGCACAGAGCAATCTTTAGCATAATGGCTAGTTTTGTCTTAATAGGAAAGAGCAAAAAAACAGAAAGAGGCAGCAAAGTTTTGCATTAATAAGAAAGAACAAAGAGCAAAACAGCAAAGAGTCAGCAAAAAACAAAGACAACCCAAAACATTGATCTATTAGGGTTCCAGTCTATCAGGTTTACAAATATGATCCAAAAGAGAGACAAGATGTTTTGAGAGGGTAGGCTCTGAAAGCCTAAGAATGCTACACCAGTAGCACTAACTACATTGCCAGTTTCACAATTAGGGGTTCCCAGGAGCACACTTTTGAAGAAAGATTTTTTTAAAAAATAGCAGCTACAA